CGTCCTAACTAATCCTCACAAATCCAAACAAACCTTAATTTAGAAATTACCATCACACTTCCATCAGCACATACCGGTTGAGAAAACCGAATCAACTCAAACTCGACTGGTTTCCATCAACGAAATCTCTTCTGGGTGTGTCAAAAGGGGAATCTAATCTCTTCGAACAGTGCGAGAGAGTGAGTGAACTGAGCTATCTTCCCGCCAAAATCCTATTAGCCCAACAAAAAGCATCGTAAATGGAAATTTCGATAAGTAATCGAACTAGTAATAGTCCAATTTTATTTTACAAAAGGATTTATTTGGAATTTCGGATGGTATACGATGGATGAGCGATATCACGACACCCGAATGGATCCTTGAAGGACAAAGGACAAGTGTATATCAGGTTTTGGGTTTGGTTACGCTTCTGTATTGATTTGTTGACTACTAGATTTTTAAATAAAAAAAAAAAAATATGTTTGATTTCCAAAAACAAACGATCAACAGCTAGAAAGATGCTTGCTGAGCATTTTGTTCAACAGCTCAAGAAAAAACTATAATGCAATTCTGCTATGTTAACAAGTTGTTGATTAATATCGTTGGTGTATAATAAGTAAAGAATCGGTCCTAGCACACTGCCCTGTGGGACACCTGCTTTAATTTCAGAGTATGGCCTCTCTTGCTTCACTCTAACAATTCTTGTCGACATATTGGTCAGGAAGTATTTTCCAAAGTTAAGGAATATGGTGTAGAATAAAAATCAGTGAAAATAGTTCAAAAACTTTACCTTGCATGGCCAAGACTAGATTAAATACATTTGTGAGTCTAAAATAGTGTTAAAAATTGCGTCAAAATTTAGCATTGTCAAAGGTTTTCATTCAAAAATTTAGAAAATAAAAACAGAATTTTTTAATAACTATAATAATAATTAAATTGGCAGCAAACAGGAAGTATTTTGAAAACGATAACTCAAAAATTATAAACTGCAGCAAAAATTTTCGTTTACATGTTTCGTTACACTAATAATGTGGTTATTCATTCAAACATATGGCAACTAGCGGGTGTGTTAGGCCTGTGGGTCTTGTCAAAGAATAGAAATAATGTGAATACATGCAAATCGTTAAAATTTACTTTAATGCAAAGTAAAAACCAAAAATAAAAATACACGACCGAGGTTATGTTGGGAAAGAGGTGTTAATACACTGCCACCTAAAATATTTATTGTGCCTTCTTCCATCGCTAACGCTAATAAAGCAATGAAATGTCTCGATGCCTATAAGGACTCTTCCAATCCTACCTTCTGAAGGTAGTGTACGTTTTATAGTGGCTTCAAGGTAGGTAAATCTTCCTCCTTGGATTTTGGAGTGCTACACATTTAGTCAGAATGTGAATGGAGGTTTTGTCCTCCCCATAACAGAATCTATATTCACTATCTTCTACTGCTCTCAGTTTACTAAGCTGTCCTTGAGTCGGCAAAGACCAGAAGGATCCTCAAGGATGCTCAAGCAGATAGAGGCTTCGATTTTTTCTGGTTATATTCACCCATAAGTATTTTAGTCTGCCTTAGCCTCAAGATATTCCACCAATTACCATGAGGTTTAAGATAACTTCTTAATCTTCAGATTTTGCGTGATTAAAAAGTATTTAAAAAACAATGAATTCCCCAGCATTTAGTATAAAAAAAAAGTTACAAGCAATTCCCTGAACCTTCGCAAATGGACTGAAAATTGAATCCTTCTGAAATAAATGGCAAAATTTTCGTAATTTAAGACCCGACCTTCAATTAGTCAAAAGTCTTTTGTACGATTGTCAATTAAGTTTCGCTGGACCCTTTTGTCAGCTTGTCGCGCTGTCTGTATCAATATTACAGCACGGTTTCGTTACAGCGGCGTACAATCTATTTTTTAAACTTTCTTCTCTTTGCGAATTTAAGTAGTAAACCATGTTTTAATTATTTAAATAATATGGGGTCTATTCTGTAATAATTCCTTTATATTTAACGGCCTTTAAAAATATTGGCGGCCTTTAAAATATTTTCGTATTCGTTAATTTACTTCTGTCATTACTTAAACAGATTTCTTTAAGATAGTTCTTTAATGTATTTTAAAGATCCGTTTAAATAATGACAGAAGTAAAGAAGAAAATATTTTTAAAGGCCGTTAAATATAAAGGAATTGTTACAGAATAGACCCCTATGTATGTTAAAGAATCAGAAAAATTAGAATATTTAGGTGAAATCAAAATAATACAAATTGAGAAGGAAGTAATTTTGTTTCATTCTTGACTACCCATGGGAGAAAATTGCATACAGGGTGATTGGTTCTAAATATATAAATATTTATTGAGTATTGCTGTCTTTATAATCGAGATACAGAGTGTACATAAATATTTTTGTAAGAATATCGAATATATACTTATTTTATAAAAAAAAAAACACTTATATATTTAAAAAGCAAAGGTCGTAATAAAATATCAGACAAATATTTCGTTTTTGATTCGTTTAATCAAACAATGTTAAATACTTTTAAAGTCTTCCCATCCCAAGCATATATTGGTTAATATTAACAAGTTATCTTAATGGGTTCAATTGAAATATACCATCAATAAAATCTTAAGCAACGCTGTCATCGTCGTTGTCATATTTTTTAATTTCTGGCAAATTCTTCTGCTTTCTAATCATTCTCAAAATGTCTATCCCGATTGTACCGCCTCTGTTCGATCTGTGACTGCCTTCCACTGAAGAACACGAGCTCATATATCTGTCCGTCCATGTATTGTAAACGATAAATAGAATCATTATATATCAGGATTCAGTTTATACACTATTAAAGAGAATGAGCAAGTAGAAACTAAATTTTATCGTCATTTAACGTCAAGTAAAATGAAGACTTCACTAAGAAGTCGAACGTATAAACATTATTTTACAAACAGGACTGTATACTGGGTGTTTTGATAAGCGAACAGATGGTTAAATTCTTTATGTTTTGTTTTTATAAGAGGAAAGCCTGCTATTCAATTTGTTTGTGAAGATGACATGTTAAAATTGATGTACTTGATAATTTTTGTTTATTTAATGAAAAAACTATTTTAAATAAACAGTGTTTAATTGAGATGTATATATTATGAGTCAGCCAGTCAATCAATCTTATTACAATTAAACAAATATCTTAAATATGTTTTTATATTATGCTAAAACTTATCAAGAATCTTCTGTGCTTCTGCTATAATACTTTGTTTTTAAAACATATTTATGACTACAGATTGCAGATGTTATTTAGATATTATTATTCATATGCCACTCATATGTTTTTAAAACATTCATTACACATTTCCAGTCTAATGTCTGGGAAGGTCATTTCGGTGTTTCAACAACAAAAAACGATAGAACGTATAGAAATAAATGATGTATTTTCAATTTAAAATGTAAACTTATTTATATTTAAATCGAAACCATATATTTAACCTAATCTCACGAAACTTTTACTTCGAAATAAACCTCAACTTTGGGACAGTTCCAATACGCTCGATAATACAAGTTTCTCTAGCTTTTCTACTTTATGCCTTTTTATGGGTCGAATTGGGTAAATTCGGTTCCAAAAAACTTCAGAGTATATGTGCATTTTCAACAAAGATTCATGTAGAAATTTCCGAAGATATATTGCACCAGACTTTCAAAGCTTTCATGGGAAAAATAAACTTAGAAGGACTCTTGTAAAGAGTAGTTTGTTTGCTCGAATTTACTACCCTGGTAGTAAAGTATAGTTATTTAAAGGTTTGTTTACAGAGTTTCCAGTGGCACAATTTCCTTATCGCCCTTGTTTTTAATTTATCATGTTTTCTTAGGATATAGTTAATAAATTTTGTTCAACAATGCAACGTGCTTCTTAATGTTAATTTTAACATATTTTTATATACTGTATACAGGATGTTTCACTTCATTCCTATACCAATAACGGTCATCAACACACTTAAGAATCTACTGGTGTGAATAAATAAAAAAAAATATCTTAATTCTGTAAAATTTGTTTTTTTTATCAATCTTTATACTGAAGCGTCTACACTAGTCTTGTTAAAAATCCAAAAAGCATACAGCATTAAAAAGCAATAAGAGTTTTGAAATGTCTTACTGAAAATCCATCTACATAAAAGACACTTCTTCAATTTTATCCAGGAACGGCTTCCAGCAGGTTTAAAATTTTCGTTCTATTGCATTTTACTTAGTTTAATCCACCAAGAAAGAGTTGATTGGTACTATGGTTTATTTTTGTTTTTGTTAACTTTGTCTTAGTCAAATTTAATGTTAACCTCTGTGTTTCCCTAGGACATTGCAATATATCATAGGCAATTCTACAATTAGTAGAAGACGATTTTGAAAACAATTCTCATCTTAAATTTTGAAGTACCTGTATACCTATTTTCATTCATATATTTATTCCAATATTTATGCCTATATCTTTGCCTACACTTATGCCTATATTTATGCCTATATTCGTCCCTATAAGTATGCCTATATGCAGGGCTATATGTTCCTGGTTTTAACTAAAATAAACCTTGATGAGGACACAATATAAATGTTGGTTGACTTTTATCCAAAAGTATTCTTACTCTCATACACCATGATACAAAAAAACTGGCCACTTTGCACATAAAAAAAACCAGTTATATCAATTGGTTCCAGATGTTCCAAGCTATTTTATGAACAGTATATTTTTTCCCAAGAGAAAATGAAATATTGCAAGAACAGCTATGAATATTTGTATTTATTAATACTGCATTAAATCAACGTTCTTTCTGCTTGTATCACTCAAGGGGATTTGGCTAAGAATTGGATCATAAACTCGTTAATGAAAGAGGAAACTTTTCTTTATTCTGTGTCAGTGATATGTCTTTTTGTACTTTCAGCTCCTTGCCTATTTTGCTTATTCTATTTGTTTTATTTACCTCTACTATCAATGACATTTCTTCTAGTTCACTTGCTAAGCCGATTCTGAGTTCTATATCATTATTTTTTGTTTCAGTGCTGGGAGAACTGTGAACTGCTCCAATCAAATTTTCAAGTGTGGGGTGCCATGTGCGAGGAGAAGGAGATATGTGTAAGTATTTTTGTTTTATTTTCGCAAGATCCATTAATCATTGCAACATATTGAAAGACTTCTACGAGAATTTGATTGAAAAGCGTGAATATAAGAACAGTAGTGACTGCTGAACCGGTGATATTATAGAATTGTTTAGGCAGGTATTAGCCATACAGGAAACGGGTAGATTTTAAGTGTTTGGCTGCTGCCACCGTTATCAATAGTTTTGATTAATTGATGATTATAGGAAAACGATTTTTATTTTAAATAGAAGTTATTTGAAAATAATTTGTATCCTCCTGTACCCAGTAAGGATCGTTACATTTTGGGATACACTGTCTCGTTTGCCTTTTTCATCCTATGTTAAATTTCATTATCCATTTAATTATTCTTTCATTTTTTATGCTTCCAATGTGTCCCACCTTTCTTAATCTCCTAAATTAATTGTGCCTACAATGCTTTGTTTGTTCTCTTCCACACATCCTTTACTTTTTCCTTTGTAACGTTTTTCCTTGCACTTCTTTGTCCAAACATGTTTTCTCATTCTCTCATGGATTTTTGATCATATTTCCATTTCCAAATTCTGTATCTTGGCGTGTCTATTCTACTATTCATTTCTGCTAATGTAAATAGGAACCTTTTCCTTTATATTCAGGTTGTAAAGATCGTCCTACTCTTGACCGTCTCTACGTTACCACAGTCCACATAATATAACATTTGGAACTTGGACCTCAATGATCACATCATCAAATCTACCACCTGTTTCGTCTCCCCAGATCTTAGATCATCAACAATTTATCTTGCTAGTTTAGTATTTTTTGTTTCCCTTATTACTCTGTCACCACAATTTTTTAACTCTACAATACAATACAATGTTATTTAATACACACAAATTGTTAACAATTTATTTAAACGCCTGAAGATGGCCTTATGGGACAGAAACCCGTTCGTACATTTAATATTACAATAAAAATTTCATGTGATATTGCTCTTATGTGTAATTTAATTTCTTTTAGTATTATCATCTCCCACGGGTCTTAATATTGATCCCTGTGGAACGCCAGTGAACATAATACTAATTGTAATTTCCGCCTTGGATTCGGATTTTAATTTCGTCGGTCGCTTATAGCGCGAAATCACTGCCCCGTATTTAATTTGAATCGGAATGTAGGTTGTTGTACCACGTCCAAAATTCGTTACCTTTCCGAATGAAACGGCTATATAATGTGTACATTGTATCGCCTCGTATAATGGAGCATTCATATTGATGTCTATAATGAGGAATTGTCATGCGATGAAGTCCTCCAGGGCCGGCATCGAATATATTAACGTAATCTAAGCTATTGCTAACTATGCCTAGTTTTGTTCTTTTTCTTTGCATATTGACATCTCTTAGCCTAACTTAAAACGTAATTTTAGCATAACTTAAGCATTTATTATCAATTATCATTATTATGAATTGACTACTTGCCTTCATCAGTTTCCCAATACTCTTTCTTTTTTTGTAATGTTTCCTCTTCAGCAATAGTACGAGTGTAGTTAAAACGGAGCTCACGGGGATTCTCATAACATCAAAAAAGTTACCAGAAATAATGTCATTGGAAGGAACATGCAAAAGTATCCATCAACAATGTAGTCACCTTAATATGGATCAAGTGTTACCCTACAGCAAAAGGTCTTGCTGATTCACTAACCATTATCTAAGAAGGCAAATACGTTTTGGACCTGGCCCTTCTATTGGACTAACATCAGTAGTGGCAGACCTATTAGAACAACATTTCTCTTGTGAAATTCAAGAAAAGTTGGAATGAAAAAAGATGCTGCAAAATTGCCAGGGAACTTCTAAGTTATCCTGATAACACGACAGCAAACAAATACTATACAGAATCTGCGTCTGATCACAGGCATTCTGATTGGTCAATGCCATCTTCCATATGTATTTTTAGTAATATATCCTTTTATTATTTTGATTTTGCTAATGGCTTTGTCCTTTCTAGCATTAGTTTTGTTTGGAATTCATAACAGGCAAACAGTGTCAGCAAGTATTTTATTATTTGTATTTGTCGTTTATTCTAGCCTTCAGTGTTTCTAGAAGTTTGAGATGATGCTTTGATATTTGGATGTAATTGAAGTATTTATTTTAGTCAGTACACAGTTTTTCAAACAATTTTTCTTACATAGAGCAGCAGACTATAGGGAAGTAAATAATGTTTTTCTTAGTACAATTAGATGTTTTGAGTTCTTAATTACTTTTTAAAATGAGTAAATCTTCTCAGTCCGGTACTTACTTATCAAGATAATCAACTCTTTGAATCCATTGATTTCATTTCATCATTTAGATTAAGCATTTTGTTGACTTTGTTCAAATTTTAACTGGTGTTTTTGTTAAGCGATTGAAAATTAATGCCTGCTTGGCATATTTCGATAATCAAGTATGAGTACAGTGACCTATTCATAAAAAAACCGTTTTTTTTTTCGGTTTCTGTATTGAAACGTTTGTTAATTAGGTTTTTTGTGGATTATTAAATAAACTTGTAACAAAATGATGCAGAGTTGAATGAAATTCTTTATAAGATTAACGTTATAATGATTGATTATTTCACTCAATACAATAAATGAATATTTTATTTGTAATTCTGACTTATATAGAAACAGTTTTGTCTCTTGTAATGACAGCGCTGTTAAGTAAATTATATAACATCTAAAAGCATGATCATATAAGCAGAATATTGACTACTCTATAGTCTATGTGAATAGTTTAACAATGCCATCGGTTCAAAGAAAACCAAAAATTAAAACTGTGGTTAGAGCAGGTAGCAAAATTTATATTCCTAGGCATTTAGGTAACTGGAACGTGGCTCCAGATAATAATACTTGATTTACAGATGAGGAAAACCCCATCCACCATCATCGAAACGGTAAAGCATGGCGATTTTTATAATCTGTATGTCATATCAATAGACTGTAAATTGTTAGATGCACTACAAATTGCTATACCAGTTTTGTAAACGTAAAGAACACAAGCATCAACTAATAAGGACAATTATATGGTGTTAAGAGATGAGCTTTTAAAAGCCAATAGTTTATTTTCTTTTATTGTTAAGACAATACATAATACCAATTCCAGAATAATACATCTCAAAAACTTGTTAAGCTTGTTTAAAGCTCGACTTTCACACCAATTAGAATTTATCTTGGTTGTTGTAATGGATTGATTGTATTTTTAAACGTGTATATGCTTATTAACATATTTAATGTTAATGGGTTGTTTAATAGGTCTCGTGGGATTGAGATGCGACGTAATAACTTATCAATTTTGAATATTTGTAATCAGAAAATTCACATAAATCTAAATTAAAGTCAGACCGTGAATTAAGAAGGCTTAAAATATGGCATTACATGCAATACTGATCATTAAACCAAGAATCAGAATACGTTTACCGAAGTACATCACGATTCTAGCCAGTGAGGTTACACGATATTATTATTGGTGTACTGGATTCCAGTCTACAGAATTTAAGAAGATTTTACTTTTAAAAGAAATCTTTTCTATATATTATAATATAGTTAGTTAATTTCTAATATCTTTAATTAAATCTCCTAGTATATAAACAACACAGGGGAACGCCTTTGTTTGTACAATGTTATATTGCTCATTTCATCCCTAATAACTTCCCGTGTGTGCAATAAACTATAATAACGTATTTAATAAGAGCTACGTTTCTATTCAAAGTGACCTTGTTGATTAACCCAGTTTTGTATACTTCGTTCTAGGGATTTGGTGAAATATTAACTCCAAAACTGATTTTGGTATTCCCAACCAGTCGTCATTTGCGTTTTCTTTCACACACTTTCATAGGTTGCAGTTTTAATGACGTATTTTATAACTTTGATGCATTTTAGTTAATTTAGTAAGTTTAAGACAGTGAAATTCAGACGTTAATGTGAAATTTTATAGTTTGAAATCTTAGACTAGGGCACACTATTTCCGTTCTAGGAGAGATATCAGTAATCATACAGATTGGTAATACACTGATAGAACACTTATTTCTGGTGACCGATATTAAGGATCAGTGTGTCCTGGGAACAAAATAAGATTGGGAACTGGGAAATTGTCGTTAATTCGGAGGAAAAAACTCCACCGATAAAGATCCTAGAGGATGAAGACATGAAGTACCCCAAAACTTTGAAGCTGTCGTCTCGGCGAGCCTTAGCGAGAAGTCACATGGCTTATATTTGGGCATTGTGAGTAAATAAATTCTGGTAGATGTCTCGTTAACATAGATCAGCTGATTCCAGCAAGAGTTACCAATTTATTTAAGATGCCGTTCAAACTAAAGAAAGGACAAAAAATAGAAAAACATAATCAAGTGTGAAGATGGTTTTACATGTTAACTCAGTTGACGCCACCTTTGTGAAACAGCTAGTAAAAAATTATGACTACCTAAGAGCTGAAGAACAAAGAATTTATAAATATCAACTGTGATATTTTCTAAACATAAAAATCTACCAGTCTTTTCCAGCATAGAATTTATACAAGCGATGAAGATTTATTTGTTTTTTATCAACATTTTAAACCATAATTGGTTGTTTGTATCCACTAAATAATAATATATTTGGTTAAAAAAATTGAATTAGCTGACATCCAGAATTTAAAAACAACGAAACCAAGTGGCGCCATTCTTCGTAAACTCGTTCTATCATTGCCAAGTTGGCATGACCCTTCGTCGCGACAATAGATGCCGAAAATCCGTGTACCTTTTCAAAACTAGAAAATTCACTTCAGTTGATTAAATGCAAGTCTCAAACAGAAAGCTTAGAATAACCAGGTGGACAAAATATTGATACAGCAATATCATTTAAATTAAACATATATATGTAATGGGGCATGTTCAAAAATTTTTAAATTTTTTTTATGAATAGTAGAGTTAAAAATAAAACTACATTTTTTTTATTTTTTTTTATCTATTCATTTGCCGGAGTTATGAATTTTTTTAAAATTTATGACGTCACCGGGA